AAGTGCAAAATAAGTTTGGAGAGAAGCAGATGACAAGCAATGAGATAATAATGTGAAATTTTTCACATAATTTTAAAGGGAAATGTTGGCTGAGATAGTTGTAATGGCAAGAACAGGTGTAATTTTTAAACCTCATAAATGAACAAAACATTTCTGACTGAAGAGATGAGTCAAAATTTTGTGTACATAGATACCACGTATACCAATAGACAATTTTCCTTTTTTAATCTTTAAAGTATTCTATAAAGTTCTTGCAGCAATGAAATTCACTATGTAGGCTGTATGCAATCATTACTAATCTAGAAACCATAATTTTAAAACAGAACATTTTAAACAAAGTCCACAGACCAGAGAACCCAGACACAGGAATATATAATCAAGACATGGAGAGTAATGCAAATTTCTAATCATTATGTTAAGCAGCTCAGGTTAATCTGAAAAAAAAAAGAAAAAAAATCCAGAGTCCAGAGGACGGGAAAATTCAAGTTGGAAGGTCCTGTGGGGGTCCAGCTGCCTGCCTGAACTAAGCTGAGCCATGAGGACCATCCAGGTTGCTCAGGGAAAAACCCTTTTCAGTCAGAGAAAAACTCCTGTGCTTATTGTCTCATGTCCTCTTGCCCTGCCCTGTTGGGAAATGCCTGGCTCCAGCCCCCAAGCATCTCAATGGTCTTATGCTGAACTTGCTTGATCAATGTCTTTTTTTACTTGGGGGACACAAAACTCAAATCTAAACATGGTCTAATGAGTGTTGAACAACGGGAGAGCATCATTTCCTTCAGCCTGTGTGTTGTACTGCTGTTGACACCACGCAGGATGCCATTTGCCTTCTTTCCACCCAGGCACACTGGGCTCACGTGCGACTTCAGGTCTGCTGCAGCCCTGGGGACCTGTTCAGCAGAGCTGCTCCCCTGCCAGTCCATCCCCAGCCTGCATAACTCTCAGCCTTTCTGCCTGCCCAGGGACATGACTTCACAGCTGTCCTTACTGAATTTCATAGGTTTACTGTTGGCTCGCTCTAGCCTGTCCAGCTCAAACTGGATATCAGCCCTACTTTTGAGCATATTGACTGATATCCCCAGTTCTGTGTCCTCTGCACATGTTATGGTGAACCACCTCTGGTTATGGTGAACTGTCTGTTCCTCCACATCACTGATAAAGAAGTAAAATGAGACAGGCTGCAGGATAACCCCTGTGGTACTCTGCTTCTCACCAGCCTCCAGGTAGAGTACAACCCATTAACCACCACCCCCTGAACACAACTACCCAGCTGGCTTGTAGGGCTTGGCCGTGGCAGGGAAACACTTGTTAGACAAATAATGAATAACCTCTGCTGAAAGTGCTGGGCGTTTCATTATCCCAATCTGACAGACAGTAAGGTTTTTCCTAACTCGGGTTTCTTGCCAGATTAACTGTGCTTTGCAGATGTCACAGAAAGAGAAGAATCAAATTAAACAGTCTTGTTTTTACACATGAGACTATTTATGTTGTACCAGGCCATATTAGTGCTCATAGCTCCAAAACAATAAAATACACATTTGGACAAAAAAGAGAGAATAGTGACCAATAAACCATGGGACACTGTGCAGGGAATAAACAATCATAAAATGCCACTGAGATATATCTCACAATAGAAAGACATATTAGTCTGAACCTTATGGGATAGTTGGGCTATTTCTACTGCTGGTCTTTTAGGCTTTAAATGACCAAATTTTCACAGGAAATTAAAGGAAATAGAAAAAGAAAATAACTATGGCTGCATCTGCAGCTGTACACGAAGTATGAGAGCTGAATCAACAATGGTGCTACAAGAATAGCAGTTACCTTTGGCCAGAAGAAATTCATCCCAGGGGACATAAGATCACCAGTTAAAGAGATCAGTGACAGCTTCAGGCAATTACTGTTGAAACACCTGGATGCCTCTTTATTTCACAGCAGAGCAGTAGCTGACTTTCTGCTCACAATACCTTTTGAAAGTACTATATAGGGATGAAGTGCGTGTTCCATGTGATTGTGTATACACATCTTTTTTATACATTCTAAAAATGTGTATAAACTTTATAAACATAACTGTGTTATAAGCTCAGTGACTTCCTTGGAAGACAGTGGCATATCCCATCCCTCAGATTTATTCTTGCTATATAACTTGTAGGTCCAAACCCCTCAAATGACCTGCTCTGTTGCTGTCATCATGATAAAACTCTACAGCGCCTAATTTGCATTGATTTATTTTTGTACTCTTCCACTCAGGGTTTCCCTTTTTAATATAATATCTGCATTTAATCTAAACAACTGCTTCTTTATTTGTTAAATCAATCAAGCAGCAGTCCATCTGCCTAGCAGAGTTCCTGATGCAGGATAGTTCTCTGGAATATTCTCCTGTTCTGATTTTAGAAGCTTGATCAATGCAACTTCCAGCACACACACTATTATTTTGCATCCAGATTGCGTTTTTTCTCTCAGTAAGTGACATCTTACCATTCTTATTTACACTCACATATAAGAGGGAAAACAACATGTTTGGATCTTGGAGCTGCTTCACGGCTTTCATTTGAGCTTTTCTCCCACAGAGCCTACTCTCCACCTCGAGACATCCCAAGGACCAAATTAATGAGCACAACATCTTGGGCCCTGTTCCTGTTCCCTGGAAGTGCTACTTCCCTGGAGCCACAGTACCAGATTACTGCTCTTTGCCCAGACACTCCAGGTTGCTAAGGCCCATGGGGAAAACCTCTGTAAAGTTTAGAAGAAAATCTCTCTGAAGAAGGCATTTTATATCTCTGATCACACATCTGTGCTGCTATCACAAACATCTGAGACTCACTGAAAGCTAAAAACATGCTATAGCCCAAATCAAAATAATCATAAAACTCTATTACAGACAACGCATTGCATAAGCAGTCAAACCACAGATGGCATTTGCATTTTCACCTTCAGAAAAAAAAAAATCTAATTTTATTTCAAGTAAAGCTAACACAACGCTTAAGAACAAACTTAGCTAAACATGTAATAATGAAGATTATTTGTATTTGCAAATTAATCCTTTCTTCATTGCCATTTTCTAAAAGTATTATTTTGGACAGTCAAGCATACTACATTTCCATATCTGATAAGTGGTGAAAGCCTCTAAATCTTTTGAGAGTATTTTCTTGTATCTGCAGACCAGCAGAGCCCTGTCTGTTTTTCTCTGTATGTTTTCTAACAACCATCACTGGCTTACAAAGGGTTAAGAATATCATAATTTCTAGCTAGTCTTCTGCCCACTGTCACCCTGAGGTTTTTTGACGTTATATTTTTCAAGGTTTGTACCTTGTCTGGAACTTTCCAACCCCCTTCCCACCCTCATTTGCATTTTTTCAATTTGAATGTGATTTTACAGTGTTTTGTCACCAACTCTAATCTGTCTAGGTAGCACTGAGCTATTCTTTTGATCTGAATGCCTTTTACATTCTGTTATTCCTGTGGATGTGTTGCAAACATACTGTTGTTAGAAGGATATTTTCCAAAGACCTGCACGCTCCACCTCTGAGCTAAGTTACTCAATATACATTACGTAACACTGTATATATCTATATATAAATACATAGATATAGATTCAAAAGGTTTTTAAAATGGGAAGCTTGACTGCCTTTTTCCAGCACATTCAGTAAGGTAGCAGTCTCCGAGGTCCAGGACTGTCATTCTGGCACCTTCCATAAGTCTCAAATGTAATGTATCCTCTAACAAATCTAATACATCAATTCAGAAATAAAAGGGATATTAAAGCAATCAAATGGGCTTGGAGCCTACTAAATTGCCTTTTAAACTAAGAGTATAATTTTATCTGTGTCACCTCAGTTTGCAATCACATACACTGATACTCAGGCTTTGTATGAGCAAATTTTGCTTCATCTTTCTGCCTTCACCTCAGAAACTAGATAAAATCAATGCCATGTTTCAGAGTTTGCGGCTGGCTTGATGCTGTTAGTTGACAACAGAAAACAAGATTTCCCACGTGCCGCAGAGGGACCCATAGCAGGGCTGACACGCTGCAGGTGACCACATCACTAAGCCAGGTTCCTGAACATCCTGTGGACATCCTGAGCCAAGCCCAGATTTGCACAGCATCAGCCTGCAGTGTCTTCAGGAGGAGCAGCTCTCAACCAGCTCTGCCTCCAACATCCTGATCACAGGGTATCAGAAGGATTTTTGGGGCTGTGACTGTTCAGATAGGCTTCAGGAAGATGAGGAAAGATTAAGTTAATTCCCTGCTGGGCAGGTATCTCCATTACTGTTAGTTATTAGCTCTGTCAATGTAAATTAAATGTTCTCATTCTGTTAGTCCGTTACTTAAAATTCATTATGAATATTTTATAAAGTGTTGTTTGTGGCAAGTTCATTGTTTATTCATCGCACACATATGGCTTTGAGAAGTTACATAACCAAAATGCACATATATACACAGAGAAATATATACATGCACATATTTATCTGGAGGGGATGTTTATCTAGCTGTTCAGCCCAGGCTTCTCAGGCCACAGGGAGAGACAAATTTAAGTACAAGCAAAGCCGCCCTGAGTCACCCAGAAGAGGTTCTTGCCAGTGAAACATTTCAGAATCATTCAGCCACATGCTGCTTAAAGCCAGCATTTCTGGGGAAGCTCACAGGTGACCAGCCTCCCAGCCAGAAGTGAAAGAGGAAGACAACAGGAGAGGCTTTTGTCTGAACAGGCAAAAACTATGTGCTGTCTTAAATACCCCGTGAAAGGTCCTGATACCCCAAAACTGGAATAGAGCTGTAGAAGTAAGTCCCAAGACCAAGTTTCCCTTGGACATAAAATAGTTTCCTCTGAAGCACTATTTTAACCCAGTACTTCGGTGCACAAAGCTGAAGTGATAATATTAGAGGTACTACCTTTCAAATATTAAATACATTAGTCTGTAAATTCCCAAGAGGCAGATGCCTGCAAAAATGAGTTTTCTCTGTTTCTTAGGGTTCAGCATAAGGTTTCACAATCACCCACACACAGATTTAATTCACCAGTCACTCTGTTCCTTTTACCTTCATTATCACTGATTACAGCGTTCAATTTTAGAACCAAGTCTGTCAGTTCTGCAGAGCTATTTCTACTTGATTCTGACCAGAGGAGTGCTGAAAGGGAGGAGATAAGGTAATAAATATTGTTATTCTCACTTAAAAGTGCATGCACAACAATCAAGTAAATTTACATTAATGTCACTGAGAACTGTTAATTTCCTAGGCCATTTCTAGAGCTGGTGTAAATTGAAGTTGCTCATTTGAAAGCAACTGAAACTACAGGGTAGGTTGCTCCTTTGAAATGGCAGTGATTTATTCCAGCTGAGAATCTGATATAAACTAGAATCTGAAAAAATAAATAAATAAATCAGTTACCGCTAAAAAAGTTAGCTTATATATAACCTGCTCAATAAAATGCATTTGCCTTAAGACAACCACATTTCCAAGTGCTTGTTTACAGAAGTACCTGCATGGAGCTAAGAAACATTCATTTCTGACGAATGATGATACACAGAGCTGGCTGCAGCCTTCTGCTCGTACTGTGAATTTCCTCCTCCGCAGTCACTTAGCATAGGAGCAGGTGTCCCCCCCTCCCTTGTCCAGCTCTAGGTCATTCTGCACCACCAGAATTTTATCTCAGGTGCACTGTGGCAATGCTGAAGAAGCCAGCTAAAAGCAAGCGGGATCACACTCACTGTTTACCACACCACAGGGCCTGATTTTTAGACAGGCTGGGCACTAGTTGCCCCAAGTAAACATAGCAGTCTCTTGTGTAACCAGATGTCAGTGTCTCTGAGCTTGTCCCTTTTATTTTCGATGAAGTGCCCTGTTTTAAATTGTGGGGGAGCACAAAATGCTGCCCACATTTCCTGTTACAGATGCTCTGGTCCTCCCACAGCCACATTTTTCAGGCTCCTGCTTATGAAGAGACAGGCTGAGCAGGGAGGTTGGACTAGATAGGCTCAGAGGTCCTTCCCAATATGAACAATTCGGTGACATAACTCAGTGAGGACACGTCACCACACAAACACAGCCCATGTACACTTACTCCTTGATCAGTAGACAGATCTGCTGCTACTGGCCTACCCCCAGGGTCTCATAAGGAAAATTTCCAATCCTGACCCAGCATTAATTGTGCTTTTCTGGGCAATTGTTGGTCTAGCATTTAATCAGTTATTTCCTCAATCACCTTGCCATGATTTTGTCTACTCATCATCTCCAGCAGCCTTATGTATCTGCTGTTAGTTTGGAAAAACTACATTAAAGGTCAACAGCTTCCTTTAGGGCTGTATCAATTCTTTACAGCTAACCAGTGAGTTTTGGAGGTGTTGCTATCAGGCTTTTGGGTTTTGAGGGAATGCTGAAAAGACTCCTTCACTCAGATCAGCTTCTCAAGTGTCAATCATCATCTGGAAGTTCAAGATTTGTATTTTTTTTCCACACTTCAACACAAATCTGTTCCTTACCATCTTGACCAAATGTGTACAAATGTGTGCAATACAAAACCGCATGCAATGGAAAGCATCACCGAGACAGATTGTGCTAACTACAAATTAAGTCACGGTCCAGTCAGCTGTATAGTGCTAGTGACATATCCCTCTGTTTTCAGGTCAATAACAAAAAACACAAAGACTCCATTATGCGACACAACAGGAAAAAAAAAAAATCTGAAAAGAAACAGCATCTCTAAAGGTCACTTATTGCACCCATCAAAAGAACAGAGCCCAGTGGTTTGCCATCCTATTGTACTATCTCACAGAGAGCAAGAGACTACTAGGAAAAAAAAATAAGATTAAATTAAATTAATTTTTTTGAAAAAGCAATAATGGAAGAAATTGTGTGATAGGACATCACAAAGAGGGACAGTCACATTTTCCAAAACTGACTTTTCTTTTTCTAAAGAAAAAAGGGGTCAAATAAAGTGAATCAATACTTTAGGCCAGAAGTAATTTCTGATTTTTGGAGAACATTTCTGGAATAAGAGACTAATTTCTAATGAATAAACTTGATATTTTAGGGAACAAATATAAATATAGATTTATTTTATCTTATATTCATATAGTTACCATTTTGGGGAGGGGAAAAAATTAGAGGAAATGGTCAGCTTTCTGTCTTGACATGCTACAGCACTGCCATGGTTGAACTGGAAAATGCTACTTTTTCCTAGAAATATTGTAACTCTGTGTGCAATAAAACCCAGCAGGCTAGCGAGCAATAAACAAAAGTATTTGTTATTAGCTTGTGTTCTTCCTTTTATTGAGTCTCATGTTTCTTTGCCAAGAAGAATATTATTTGTTTTCTTCCTTTACCTCCCAAAGGTTTTCAAATCTCTATGAATATTTCTTTATTCCTCAATTACACTTTTATGTTTATATAAAAAAGCATAATTATATATCTACACAGACATGCACACACGGATTGAGACATTTTTTATATAAGATACATAATATATTAATAATTTATAACTAATGCATATTAAATACCCAACACTTTTTCTTCTTTCACTTCCAGTGCTATGAATAAGGAAAATCATAGTGATTTACCATTTAAAGCTTTTTTAAGAGGTCTCCAATTTAGAAACACTGTGCAAGTGCCAGCAGTTTTGTATAACAAATGACAAACCCTCCCAAGATTTGTAACTAACAAAGATTTCCTAGCCAGGGAAAGACTGAGTTTCTTAGAAATACATGCCCGAGCCTTGTGTTGGGTCAGCTCTTCATGATAATTTGGAAACCATTTGCCAATTTCAATCAACTTTGTCCTTGGAAGGCACATAAAGGCACATCTCCGTATAGAGTCCTGTAAAATGGGGGGGGGATTGATCCCAAATGAGAATAATTACTGAAGGAAGGGAAGAGCCACTCGGTACAGACAGTCCAGTGAACTCAGCTCACCGAGCACTTTTTCTGTTCAACAGTTACCTGTTATCTGCTCTTCTCTTTACCTGTTTATTTTTCTGCTGGTTCTCCTCACTTCTCTTTACAAACAAGGGTTTATACAGGAATTTTAAAGTTTCAGCCTCCAGATAAATGTGCTTTTTTCTCAGCACATAACTTGCATACATTTTTAATTTTACAAAATGCATATATTTGAAAAAATAGCAGTGGGCTTTTTCATTGGATTTAGCTGACTTTATTAGCTGTGGGAAGCAGCAGAGTAGCTGCCTCTGGCAACACAGAAAGGAGCAGATGTTGCACCAAGGTAGGGAGGTTATTTTCCTTTTTATATTCGACATCTGCTTTAATCTTCTTTGACCTGTTCAATGATTAAGCTCCAGAGAGACTGTTTGCACTTAAATGTTCCTGAAGACTCCTCTCCCTGGGAAGGATTCTGCACCTATTAGGAAGGATTTGATGATCTACCTATTCAGTAGTAACATCCTGCAGATAATTCTGCCACTTCTTTATTTTAAAAATAGCATGTTCCTCCTCTGTCACCTGATCACTGCTGTGTGTGGAACGAGCAGCCCACTGCACTGAGCATTACCATGTTATTCCATTTTTTAGATCCTTTGCTTATAAATTTAAGTCAGTAAGAAAAGCAGTCATAAATACACAGCATAAAGTGTAAGACTGGAGTATGTGCCTGTTACTATTACACAGTAAGTTTTTCATCTTGAAAATATCAACATGTGAACAGTAATGGAAGACAGGTGGCCCTTAGTGACCCCTTTTAGTTGCATCGCTAAGTTTCATCTACAATGTCCTTCAAATGCAAATGCTGGGGTTGTAAGTGTTTGTAATGAGATGCTGGGTATCTAACTTGCATTAGACACCTGAGTTTCAAATGACAAGGAAGAGTGTTGAAACAATTTAGCTTGAAAATTTAGCATCTGAACCCCAAGAGCATCATCACATGAGGGATTTTGTTCACCTTTGAAAATGTAGTAGCCAGCCTTAGAGCTATCGCATGGTCAGAGTGATCATAAGGAAATTAGATCAGAGTAACTGGATTGCTATTAATTATCATACTCTTGCTAAATGTAAAATACATTTTTTCCAGTAAACAAGAGCTCTGAGTGAAAATACTTGGTTATGGAAAGCTGCTCCCTCTAATCAGCCCTTGCCATTACACTGTTGGAGAGGTATGAACACAGACATATATATATCAATGACCTTTCTAGAGGACTGCAAACGGAACTGCAAAAAGAAAATATAGAAGTGGTTACTCTAACACAATTTTATCCTAAAAATTAAGGTCTCAGAGAAAGGTATTTAGATGTATGATAAAAAAGATATATTCACGCAGAAGAAGTTGAGGAATAATTATTAATATATTTCCAGCAGGAAGAAACTAAAAAATCTGAAGACAGACTTCAGCAGCCAGTCAAAATGAGTTATTTCCACTTACATGTAATCATTCACTACTTTTCAACCTAGGGAACTGGGACTGTCTTCACAAGAGAGTTTAGTAGTTGGACTGCCCCTCTCTAACGGATTTCTATTCTCCTGAGGAAAATACATTTTTATAAAGAGAGAAGTAAAACTTTGATAAATATTGTTCTCTCTCCAGATTATTTTTTTTATGCTTCCTCACTTATACATTTAAAGAAAATGTTGTAAATATAAACAAATATTTTCTAAATACTTGGTGTTCCAGTACTGAAACAGACTTCATGAGGAGGACTGTACCAGTGTGTCATACAGAAGACAGGCAAGATTACTGTTAATCTCAGCTACAGAGTTCAGAACTACAATTATAAACCTTTGAAAATACCACTGGGTAAAAGTTTTCTGGAGCACTTTCAATTTTAGTAGTTTCTAAGAGCAGTTTTAGAACCTCTACCAAAGTTTCTTCCCACCGTGTCACAACCCTTAAAAATAACTTGCTTGTGGCTTTAGATCACACTGGCATCTCCCAACTCGTCAATTATCTTTACCACGCATAAGGGAAAATTAATTTGAACGCTGTCACTGACAAAATCCCCAAGGCCACGACCACTGTCCATACAGACAGCAAGCGTGGAAGCCCGCAAAACCTTCACAACCCACTGTGGCCAAGGGGATTCACACAACTGCCCCACTGACACAAGACCCATCCCTCCACCTCTGCTACGCCCACCTGTGAATCTGGTAGGCAGAATCTCCTCCAGCCCAAGAGACAAACAGGGGCAGCAACCTCCCTCTCAGATGAACAGTTTGAAACAAATGTGCAAAATAGGCAATAATTTAAAAAAAAAAAAAAAAAAAAAAAAAACTCGGTGAGATTTTTATTTTCTTTGATTGCTTCCAAAAGGACAAGGTAGAGTTTGGCTGTAGAAAAGAAGCAGAAAAGCACGAACAATTTGTTACTGTGAAGGTAAGCTGAAGGCAAAATAAATTGTCATATACCATAAGCTGGCCATGTCCTCACCAGCACAAAAGCCTACAGCCTTCACCTTGTCACAGAGATGTGTAACAGTCATCTGCCAGCTTTTGCTTCTTACAGCCTCGTAGAATAAGGCTTTATTTGCTCACATAGAATGCAAATTTAAAATTGAATTCAAACATTAAGAAAAATAGAGTCCACAGAGATGGGGAAGAAAGAGCATACCTCCAGAAGAGGGTTAGAAACTAAGTGTGCATGCTACAGTTTTAATTGCACAGTAATTATTTCCTTTTCTGTAACAAGCAGGTCTGGACTAACAAACATCTGAGATTCTGATTATACTAAAAATATATTATTGATTTACATACATTAAGAGATGATCCCTCTTTGCTCATGATCTGGATTTTGAGCATGGTAGGACCAAAATCTAAGGTGTGCCACTCCTATAGTATACAGCTTTCACAGCCCTGTGCCACAGAGCCAAGTTCCCAGCAGCGAGCTCTTGGGGTCAGGCTAGTGATGATGACCTCTTTGACTTGGAAACATAAAGCATGATCTCTACCAGATTTAGGTTACAGGCAGAAGCAGGATTTGAAATGCCTAGCTCTCTTGATTTTTATTTTCTGAGGGTATAAATGCCTACCTTTTCTGAACACAGTATCTTATTTCCAATTTTTAAGTCCCTAAACAACACATGAAAAAATCTCCACTGTCAATATATTCAGAACTCAATATTCATGTCTTGCTTTAAAATTTCATCTCATTCCCAAGACATCCTGCATAGGAAGGTATTCTATTACTGATTGCTACAGATTTGCAGTTCCTGTCCAGGTACAATTCCTTCCCATGACTGCAGCTGCTTCAGCAAAATACAGGTCCTGGGATGTAATAAAATCCTTTGTTATGCTGTACTGTGTCATTTTTCCTTCATCCACATAACTCTCATATAATCTTAACATTAAGGTCAGGTTATTTTTTCACCAAGCTAATGGGAAAGTAACTCCTTTATTCACATCATTATCATTACTAAAATTTACAAGGGCATGATTTGTACAGAAGAAAGTTTTCAGTACAAAGGCAACCTATGTGTACAAAGAGAACCCAGAAACTTTAACAGAAAGAGAAGAGAAACCTTGAACAAGTCTAACTTTTCATCAAGATACAATATTCTTACATACAATTATCTCCATGTCTTTCAAATAGAAAGGATTTTTTTTTTTTTTAAATAACACTCTAAATAGAGTAAGACATTAAATTCTTGGTAAATCACATCCCTCTAGCCTGAGCCTTTAATCAGAGTCCTATCACACCTGCCAGCCAAAATTATTGCGTATATCATATCTATCTTCTAACTGCTGTCAGTAGCATCAGTGTAAATCCTTCAAAATCTCAGTAATTGATAAGCTGGTAAATTTTCCAAGACACAAACGAAAACTGATGCAGTGCATGAAATCTCTTGCTATACAATTATGTATAGCACAGAGGACATGTCTTAATGTTAACATCTTTAGCCATGCCTAATTTTAGCATCCAAAAAACAAATCTAGATAAAAATCAGATAACTTCAGGATTTTCAGAGTTTGTTACATAGATTTCTTTGAAACTCAAATGCCTTAAGCACAGGGAAAAAACTGTTTAAACCTTTAGGATTAATTATATTAATTGTGTTGATGGTACAGATCTCAAGGAGGTCTTTGAAGATTAAAAAATAAAATCAACTGCAGGTATTTGCATAGACTACTAAAAAAAAGTATAGTTGTGTTATTCTTCTTGTCCTTGGGGCCAAGTTCACCTGGGGCAGTGGTCCACAGGCACAGCAGCCATCCGTACAGCACTGCAGTCACAAATAAACTGGGGAGCACAATGCAACTTTCAAGGGCCAGGCAGGGCACATTTCACATAAATAAATCAGGGATATGCACTTCTACTTTGAAGATGTCATTATGTGAGTGAGATGAATAAAATGAGTAATGTCTCATAACTTCAGAGATAATTTACATTTTTATTTTTTTGAGAGACCACCATCAATTTTGAAATGTTTGTTATTTGGATAAGTGAGCTTCCAGTCTGGGCAAAGGAACGTGCACTGCAGAAACCTGGGAAGGACCCAAGAAATGTGGCTGGTTTATTTTACAGTTCATTCTAAGTAGATATTTTTATAATTCATCATTCTAAAAGAATACAGAAAGCTATTATTTATATTGATACCAATAAAAATGTGTAATTCTGGTTAGGATTTAAAGTGTTTATTAAACTTTCCACTGAAGCTTGTTATTTCAAAGGGAAGTTGTGCATGACAACCATATAGACAGTAAAATTCCATTTTCCAGAGTGATGAGATTTTCCAGCCACAGGACTTTTATAGAAGAAGCTACCTGTCTTTGTATATTTAGAATTGTCTCAAGACTACGAGTTCTGTAGCTGGGATAACTGTGGATTTTGACTAAAAGAACCTTGTTTAGATTTTTCTGCCAATCCTTTCCCAGACTACTAGGTATCTACCACCATAACTCACGGAGAATGAGAAGTACAAGCTTGGGACAGGCAGCGCAAAGAGGGAGATGAAATACAGAAGTCTCCTGCTGCGAGTCTGCCTTGCCTGGTAACTAGAGACACTGTTCAAAGCAGGGTTTGTTGGATCCAGTTGTACACTATGCCCATTTACATTGGTTTCCCTCGTTAAGATGAGTTAACTTTCTGGAAGTCTCAAGAAAATTACTTGGATGTTCCAAATCTAATTTAATATACCGCCTCCACATGAAGCCAGCAGCGTGGGTATACTGAGACATTGCCAGACTTCCCTTATCCATGCCTGTTGTATTGACACCACAATGTTGTCCTGCAGCTGTAAGTATTTTGTAGGTACCCACTCTGTAGGCACAACCCTGAGGGGGAATTTTGGTGCACATCCTAATTAAATTGGCCAAGAAAACAGCAGAGAAACAGAAAGCCATCTTTAATTTCAGATCTTGCTCTAAAAATCAAGCCAAGTCGTGCTGATAAATTAATTTCACTGAATGCAAGATGTTTTAAAAATTAGCCCCAGTGGGTTTACACACACTTTACTCTGGTTTGAGTGGGGACTCTACTCCCCAGGTAATGTGACCCTGTAATGCCTGTAAGAGGGAAGGCAATATGTGAGATGCAGCAGGTAAATATTTTGCTATTTATTTAAATCCAAGCAGATTTTTTTCGAGTAGGCTCCATATCACACAGAGGGTAGAGACTTCTTCTATTATAAAGCCATGTGCCAAAGAAGCTCATCTTACCCTGGTGCCATACTGACCTGATGCTCCTCTGCTCAGCTGCAGACAGGTCTTCTTGGTGCCAAGCTCAGCTCTCAAGCTTTAGCTTGGAGCTTTCAGAGCTGCTGAAGTCAACCACATCCACTCACCACAGGTGTCACGGACATACTCCAGAGTCCTTTTTCCAGTCTACAGGAGCTCCTTCTGTGGGACTCAGAGGGCACCCAGCTGTGGCCATGTACCTGGCTATAAAAACAGGCAGCTCAGTTAAGGTAGCTCTTTTGGTTAAGGTAACAAAATAGATCAACCTGGCAGCATGCTACCAACAGATTTATTTTCTCTGCTACACAAAACAAGGATCTCAAAACACAAAGTATCAGTAAACCAAACAACAAATTAATTGCCATACAGGAACATTTAGAAATAACAAAAGTACCAGGAATGCAGTATGATATTTTTTACTACACTCATAATTCACACAGTTGGTATTTAGGGGAACAGAAAAACTCTCCTTTCTTCTTTCTTTCAATACGTTCCTGGAAGGGGATGAAATATTATTCTGCTTTCCAAAATAAAGGAATTT